GAGAGAAGTGAGGGACGCGCTAACTGCCTTCCCAGGCCGAGCTTCTCCCGCGGGGCAGCCGCCCCCTTGAGGCCTGCGTGCCAGCAAATATTTGCTGAGCACCTACTATGCGTCAGGTCCTGGAGGAACGGAACGGAGTTAGACCCAATACCTGTTCATCTCAGGTCTGTTGCCAGGCTCCCGAAAAGTACTGTCCAAGATGTCCAGATAGAAAATCCCAGAGCTGTTGGCAGACAGATGGGCAGCAGCTGAAGCAGCTGTCCCAGGCACTAGAGAAGACGGCTCTGTGTACCCCCCACGCGCCCCCTGCCACTTGACAGAAGGCCCCCTTCCCAGGCCTGGCCAGCCTGCCAGAGAAGCCCACCAGCCTCTCCGGACCTTCCACTCTATCACCTTTGCAATTCCCACTCCCTCCCATGTGAGCCCCAGCCATGCCCTCAACTTGGGGCAGCCTCATTCCATGGAGGGTGTCTTTCTGAAAGCAGAGGGAGACTAAAAAACGCCCTTCAAATGAACAGTTCCGCACCTAGAAATGTAATCGTACGTCAATCTATCATACCTACGTCCGGGAAGATAAATATGTACGGAAGCTCACAGGAGAGCAGAGTCTATAAGAGGGGGAAGGAAGTAACCTATATGTCCATCATTAGGGGATTGGCTAAACTCATTCCTTAGGACTTTGTGCTGCCATTAAAGAGGTGACGTCTACCTGTACGTGCCTATGAGGACAGCAGGATATATCATTTGAGAGAACTGTGCAGACGATCCCTGAGAGGAAGCTGGGGACGTAGCGACATGGTGTGTTCTGAGCTCAGGTCGAAGGTGCCTCCTCGACCCTCACCCCTTCGCCTTGCCCGATCCCATGGTCCTCCATGCACCAGCCCTTGTGCGCAGTTTCGCGCCACAGACAGCCCGCCCACTGCACCCAGAGGACTGAACCCGGGCCCTCTGGGCTTGGTGCTCACTGGCACCATTGGCCGTCTGAAATTCTGAACCTGACACGACAAAACCTCTGTGCCTAACTTTTGCCTGAGCCGCGGTCAGCCTCACCAGGAGCCGCGAGCACCCCTGGCAGGTTCTTCTCAGCCTCCCATGTCGGAGAAGGAGATCTGAGGCCCACGTATGGCGGGCAGGAGGGTACCAGAGACATGACGCCGGCTCTGTGACAGGCTTTTTCCTAGTGGGGGCTGAACAGGCGCCAGCCCCTTCCCGCTGCCCGCAGACAGGCGTGGCTGTGACGGGGCTCCTGGACATGGTGTGGGGGTTGTGGGGGACCAGAGAGCCGAGCCCCCCTCTCCTGCGTGTCCTCGTGCCTAGAGTCATTCCACACGTTAGACACACACGATGGTGCAGTGGTCCTCTGGGGGCCAGTTCCTAACACGCACACCAGCAGGGAAAGCGTGGACAAGTCCCTTCTAGGGGGCGTTCCGGAACCATGCTCTGAGGACGTTCCGTAGGTATTATGCCCAGACAGCCTTCCAAGTTCAAAATCAGGTTGGGTCTTTATCCTGCTGTCCCCCGTTCAAAATGTCTTAAGCTTCTGGTGTTCAAGATGGCAATAATAACACCGTTAAACAACAGGTGACATTTATCAAAGGCTTACTGTATGCCAGGTGCGCCTCCAACAGATCGCATACGCGTTATTTTATTTAATACTTCCCAGCACCTGAGGCTTATGGAGATGAAAGTAACACGGGCCGAGTCTGGGCTTTCAGGAGGAGACCGTGGGGAGAAGATGAAGAAGGAAAGGGAAAGAGAATTAACTGCCGCGATCCGTGCTTGACTTAAAGCAGCGCTTCTTACACTTTAAAGGGCGCCTGGCAATCATGTTCAAAAGCAGATTTTTCACTCAGGAGGTCTTGGGGGAGCTCTGGGTGCGAAGACCGGACTCTGAACGGGGAGGCACTCGCGCACCGGTATCTGCTCTCCTGCACCGGGGAACTCCTCCACTCACTCACTCACTCATTCATTCATGCATGCATTCATTGGTAGAATCAGTGTGTAGTCCAAAGCACGAACTTTGACCTTTCGAAGCAGGTTCCAACCCTGATTCTTCACTCCATGGGCCACTTCTCTGACTCTTAGCTGCTCACCTGGAAAATGGGAATGAAACTTACGTTTTGTGCCATCTTTGTGACTGCTAAATGCAAGAAAACGTAGCAAACGTTTGCCTCAGGGACTAGGTCATGGCGAGCACTCTGGGAGTGCCCACGGAGGTTATTTTAGTATTCGTTTATGAATTCATTTCAGCCAGTATTCTCATATGGTCCCGATGCATTTGTTTTAATATTTATTGATGGCAAACAAACAAGTTTATTTAAACAAAGATGCCCCAGGGGCTCCCAAGGCGACTGTGATGGGTGCCGGGGTCGCCGTCGTGAATCAGGGGAAGTGGCGTTAAACGAAGAGACGTGCCTTCTAGCAATTTCCGCGAAAGGTGCAAGGAAATTGGTGAGGAGACAGACACAAGTGGCGAGCGGTGGCAGCCACCTGGCAAGTGACTCCACCAGAAAGAGCGAGTGAGAAATGCGTGTGAGGCAGGGAGAGAGAGAGAGAGAGAGAATGAGAGAGAGAGAGAGGGAACCTGGAACTGCATAACATGTCAACAGATCGCAAGCTGTTAATTACCCGGAGAGAACTAAATATTATGTAGGCAGCTATCGACAGGCGTCTGACAGCAACAATAGGAAAACTTGGTCCCCAGCCGAGTTCCGTCTCCACTTGGAGAAGGGCTGGGGAGATAGGCTTCAGCATTCAGGGGAGGCTTTTTACACAGAGGGAGAGTGAGGGCCCCCCCCCAGGGCCCCAGGGAGAGGGGAGTGGCAGGGGGCCCCCCTCACTGGTCCATCCAACCAAACACTCGGCCCTCTGCTTTGAAAAGCGGCTTTACCCAGAAGCGCTGAGCCTGGACTCCGCGGCCCCCTCCCCGTCTGCCCTCCCTCCTGCAAGATGTCATCTTTTGAGGGGATTTCATGTGGAAGCATCGCTAAGTAAATCCGCTAAATGCCTATTCATCCCCGTCAGATGGGGGCTTGGTGAAGCGGTTAATGTGAAAATGGCCCCAGCTCGGGGGCCCTGAAAGGCGCTTTCTGGGGCTGCCAAATGGAGCTGCAGCCACTGACCCTGGAAGGCCCGAGGCTTCCCGAGAGGGAGCCCGGGAGCCCCAGCCCGGCCCCTCCAATCCTCCCACGGAGGCCACTGAGAGGCCCCTAGTTATTATCCTCCCCGCTGCCAGGGACCCATTCAGAGGTTAACTTGTCCCCCTATTCATCAGGACGACAATAATGAACTGGGGCACAGAGGAGTGAGGGGGTTGGTAGACGCGGAGTTGCAGTGGGCTTCATTGGTCTGGAAGGAGCTTGCTTTAATATTTTACAGGCGGATTTAGTTAACGCCTCTCAGCACTTCAGGAGGCCCTCTGCCCACATGCAACCTTAACTCGGCACGGGGCACGCGTGGGCTTTACCTTGCAGCACGCGCGTGGGCTTTGTCCATACCGAGGTGCACCGTGGAGCAGGCACGTGGGGCACGCCTTTGTCTGCGTCCCCGTCCCCCGGGTTCAAAGCGGCAGAGCTCAGTTTTCACCGCTGCGTGTTTTACCTGGGGTGTGGCCCCCTCCGCTGCTGCCGTCCTGAGTTGGTCGACGTGAGTCATGGAATCCCAAAACAGGGATCTGGCGTGGCGAGGCTGCAGGGAAATGAAGGAGGGGGACGGGTGTGGGGCAGAAAGAGTAGCAGCTTGCATTTATTGTGCACCGACTGTATGCCCCCTCAGCCCACCCAGTTATCCATTCACAGTATATGCTCAGAGAACCCACTGTCCGCTGGGCAGCCAGGTGAGTTCAGGGAAGGTTACATGACTTATCCTTAGACCCACGCAGCTGACTCAGGAGTGGATCTGGGGCATGTCTCCATACCTTTCTGCTTCTTGAGCCCAGGTATCACCTTCTAAGGTGCCCACCTGCCTCCCTTCCCTTCCCAGAGATGCCTTTCCTTTTCACGGTCCTCACACTTCTCCCAGTTTGAAACAGTGGTTAACCCTTTCCTTCTAAATAAAAATCGCTGAGCAGAGACGCCTGATGATAAAGGAGCTGTCACTTCAGCCCCGTTTACCTGTTGGGGTTTATGCAGCGGAAGAGGCGATGCATTTCTGGCAGATGGAGACCCGTGTGACTGCCTTTTAAAATACTGTCACAGCTGTATGCACAAGCTGATTAGCTGTGACTACACTGCTAGTGCCGAGATTGATGGCGATAAATTTGGGATAACAATGCTGGGAACGGTGTCATCTGTTTGTGTTGCACCTCATCTTTTTTAAAGCTCTCTCAATCAGTTGCCCAGTCGCTATCGAGGACTTCGTGTTCACTCATTCACCCAACAAACGTTAATGTAGCTCCTACTATGTGCCAGTGATGAGCAAGTCTTGGAGCTTACATCCTAACGTAAGCCAATTTAATGCTTTCAGATGGTTGGCAAGATAGTGAAGTAAATACAGTGATATGATAAAGGCTTAAAGGGGGATACAGGTGCTACTCTAAGTTGAGTGGCCACACAAGGTCTCTCTGATGAGACCACATATGCAAAGCAACCTGAATAACAAGAGCAAGCTCACAATGGGAAGGTGTGGGGCAGAAGTTCCCAGGTACAGCAAGTGCAAAGGCCCTGGGGTTGCTGTGTATCTGGCGTTGAGCTCCTCGCTATTGCCTTACTATTTGCCAAGCCCAGTGCTGGGCACTGGCGATTCCAAAACAAATAAGATACTCTGCTTATCCTCAACGAGTTCGCGGTGTGTGGCGTATACAGGAGACACACACACAAATAGCCCATGCTAATGTAGTAAGGGAAGTCCAGAGCTGGTGACTCATGAAAGAATACGCGTTACCAGCCTGTGTGGTGTGACACAAGGAGGGATCCTGTGTCCTGCGACAGCAGAGGGAGCCAAAACTCAGTTCTCCGTGGTCTCTGGAGGTCCCTGACTTTCCTCTCCGTCTGTTTCCACAGGACCAATGACCAGCTGGTGGCATTTCTCTCCCGATACCGAGATATGAACTTCTTGAAGTCACACGGCCGGGACAATGCCAGGTAAATACACCCTCTTCCTACCTTTGTGCAAAGTGGAAACGAAGGTCTAGAGCGATCATTTCGGGGGCTTTCTTCTAGGCCCGTTTGGTGCAGCCAGAGAAAAGTTGAGGATGGGAGAAAGGCAGGTGCGGGTGCGGCTCGCCCCTTCCACGTTGGACCTGAAGTGGCCCGTCCTGTCAGCTAAGGACAGATAATAGAAAATGTTTCCCATCATGTCATACAAGTAGCCCTTAATGGCTTTCATCCAAGCACTTTCGCGAGTCCGTGATCTTGTTGTGGGCAGCCCTTAGACGTAAGGAGGGCAGCCATTGTTAATTCCCATTTTATTGGCCGGAAGACTGAGGCCCGTAGTTTAAGTGATGTCCCCAGATCAATCATCTGGTCAGACAGTCGTTCAACGAACATTTGCTGAGTGCCAGGCATCCGTGTAGCAGCGACCAGGAGAAAATCCTCACTCTCCTGGAATTCACTTCCTAGTGGCAATGAGTCTCGTGCCAGCGTGGTGTTGAACTCAGCCATCCTGACGCCAGCCCTGTGTCCTCACCACTGCCTCACTCCTGCTGCCTGAGACGTTGGCAGGAACTCGAGCTACCCAAGCCCGATCTGGGCCCGTTGCGCCTCCCTCATTAAAATGAGCAAAGCCAGATAGCATCACTGCAGGCCAGCTCTGAGCTGAGTCTTAATCTCCGTGGCCAGTGATTAGCCAGGAGGGACACAGTCTCCAGTGGCCCTTGTAGGACAGGTCACATGATCAGCTCCACCCTCCGGAGATCAAACATCATTAAAAACAGCCCAGGGGCACCCTGACATCTTAGAGCCTTTTGCCAGAGTTGCCCTCCGCGTGGAAGCTGGCAGCTCATAGGACAGTTTCCGCTCGTTGATGTGTGTTGTGTGGCCCTCGTGTTGGTTTGGCTTGGTTTGGTTTGGTTTCATTTGAAAATGCATAGCCCCATTTAAAAATAGTAGCATTTCCCATGAAAATCCAGATTTCAGCTTGTCTTAAAAGCTAAGGAGGGCCGCTGACTCTGTGCCTGAATTTTCTCACAGCCGCTAGCAGCGGGATCGAGACACTGCCCGTGCTCTGCAGGACTCCACGGTCCTCACCTGTCCCCGTTCCCTACTGGGGCCTGTTGGTGGTTCAGTGTGCAGGCTCTGCCCCAGGCGGTCTCCGCCGATGCCGTTGGGTGTGTGGCTTTGGCTGGCTCTGTGACTACGTTTCCCCCGCTAGCCACAGCGGGGAGGGGACAGAAGAGGCAGAGGGCTTCGTTTCCTGAGCTTTTGAGAAGTAACCCGGAGTGCTTGTGTGGTATCGTCTTCCAGCATTTTAACTGTGATTTCATCCCGCTGTCTAGAGGTTGTTCTTATCCCCCTGACAGACGGCATTCTTTACATTTAAAAGGAGCCCAGGGGCTGGCCGAGTGGCTCAGTTGGTTAAGAGCTTGCTCAAGAGTGCGAGCGCTGAGCAACAGGGTTGCCGGTTCGATGCCCGGCCCGAGCTGAGCGGCCGCTGAGCTGCCAACAGGTGGCAGGATGGCTCAGCTAAAGAGAAAAGAAAAAAGGAAAGAAAGAAAAGGAGCCCAGGCTTGAAGACGCTTCGTACATCAGCACAGATTAGTAAGGCATGTTCTGGCCACTAGGGGTGGAGAGACCTAAGTGGATAAAAAGGAATTATCGCCACTGTGTCCTGTGTTCCTACTAAGTGCCCATCTCTCCAGTAGGCCCTTTTCATGCAGGATCCAACTTCATTCTTACAGCCACTCAGTGCGGAAAGAAGTATTATCCCCATTTGTTAGGAAAAGAAAGGCAGATCTTTGGGAACCTACGTGGTTGACCTAAGGCCTCACAGCTGGGAAGTGCTAGAATTTGAACCCAGGTTTCTGGCCCCAAAGCCCCAAAGCCCACGGGAGTGAGGTAGGTGGAGCTGAACACGATTTAAGGGAGGTGGTTCGTGATCAAACCTGGCCCACACCTTCGTGTCCCCACCCTTAGGGACGGAATGAAGACCCCCTCTTCCCCTCTAGGTAACCGGGTCATACGTGCTTTATGCAAACAAAAGTCGCACCATGAGAAAGGAGCCCATCGTAAGCTGGTAGATGTGTCTGAGTTACATCGACTCTGCCAGTCTTGTTTCCGCTGAGTCAGCATTGATTCTCTGTCCGCTGTTTCCAGGCACTGAGCTAGGAGCTGAGTATAGCGCAGAGGTTGAAACCATGGGTTTGGCGCTTCCACCTCCTGGGCTGGAGGCCTGCTCCACTGTGTCCCGGCTGTGCTGCAATGGACAAGTGACTGAACCTCTCTGAGCTTTTTCCCTTCTCTGTACAGTGGAAATATTGATAGACCTACACTCACGGGGTTGTTGGGAAGACTAAATGAGATGCTACCTAGAAAACGTTTGACGCGTAGTAAATGCCCTATCGTGGGGGTGGTGGTGATGGTGGTATTGCCATGACACGCACAGGACTGAGATATTGCTGGTTGACAAAGAAATAGATGGTGTGTGGGCCAAACCCGTGCCTCTGGGTGTATGAGTACTTACTGTGTAGCTGATGAGCATCAGTGGTTGACAGCTGGTACCCCGATGGCCTGGGGCAGGATGACGGCTCAGGCTAAGGAGATGTGGCTTGCACTTCCCTCTAAAACCCTAAAACCCGGGGCTTCTCTGGACAGAACAGCTCAGAGGTTCCAACACTCACACACGAGTCCTCAGCTGGTATTCTCTCACTCGGATGAATTAAGGGCAGTAATTTAGCGTGAGTTTACTAGTAAAGTCGGCCAGCGTGCCATTCTCTGCCACTCAACTCGTTTCTGTTAGCTGAGGTCTCATCCCTGTTGCACAAACAAACCTCACCTCTGCCCAGCCCCCGTTGTCTGTCCTACGTGTGTGGAGCTGGGCGCGGCTTAGCTCCAGTGCCTGCACTGGCGGTGTGTTAGAAAGGGCGCTTTTGGTGGGAGATAGCAGAAACCCAGCCCAAACTAGCTGAGGCAGTAAAGCAAGCTATTGGATCATGCAACTCAAATATCAGTAGCTGACTTCAGATATGGCTGAATCAGGACGTTCAAATGACATCATTAAGCCCTGAGTCTGTCACTGCTTTTGGCGGGGAGTGGGGCAGTGGGGGTTAATGACTTTTTATTATTTCTTGACAGGGTTAAAATAAAATAAGCACATCACATTAAATAGCCAAGTAGTTCACTGGTGGGAACCTTTTTTAAATTGAGATATAATTGACATATAACACTGTATCAGTTTCAGGCGTACAGCATAGTGATTCTATATTTGTGTATATCGCAGAATGATACTGCACAGTTAAGTCTAGTTAAATGCGTCCACCACATAGGTACGGGTTTATTTGTGTGATGAGAACGTTTAAGATTTACTCTCTGCTCCCCACGCTGCACATGATACCACAGGACTTACTTATTTTCTAGCTGGAAGTTTGTACCTTTTGCACTTAACTCCTGTTAGTTCCCGTTTCCTTTTTATTGGTTTCATTTTCTGGCTCCAGATGGTGACCCTTCTCAGCTTAGTAGCCTCATTTTACAGATAAGGAAACTGAGGCTCAGAGCGGTGAGAACTTGCTAAGCCCGCACAGCTGGGCAGAGCCAGGACACAGCCCTAGGTGAGGGCGTCCCCAGAGCCTATGCCCGAACCCCGGCCTGGTGACGCCTCTCTGTGCTCTGGTCCTGCTTTCCTCCAATATGCTGTGTGGCTTCGAGGCAGCTGCTCTGCTTCTCTGGGCTTCATTTCCTCCCTTTTAAAAACAGGGGGGGATGCACGAAATGGCCTCCAGAAACCCTTCCTGTTCTGACACTCTGTGCGTCAGACCGTGTGACCGAGGCAGAGAGCTTCAAAGACAGAGATGGGGAGGGACAGTGAGGGACAAAATAGGTCCCAGGGCGCCTCTGTTTTAATGCCACGTGGTTTCTGGTAGCAATTTGCCCATCTTTCTGTCCCTGGTCCATGCCATCAACGACCATTTGGACCCTCAGCTCCCGCTGGGTAGACATGGCATAAAGGCAAACTAGTGTTTTAATAGCTGCCAAATAGGTCCTGACGGTTCCTGTAATTAAACGAAGGGGAGTGTTGTGTTCACTGTTTCTTCTTGCTTTCCGCCCAAAATAAATCAACTGGATCCACTGAAGGGCAGGGAGCTCAAGTTACCGTTTACCCAGACAGGCCCCGCAGGGCGAGTAAAGTGGGCCCTGAGTTCGCCTGGCAGCCTGAGGACACGGGTCGTGCAGACGTCCCCAGGAGCTCCTGGCTTCTGCTCGGCGAGTGTCAGAGAGGTTTCCCAAATCTCTGCAGCCTGCACACGTCTCGGTGTGTGGGGATGGGCCCCGCACAGGGAGATGGAAGGGAAAAGCCGTTTCCCGTTTGCTCTGGGACTTTTCCTGCCTGGGTTGATCAGGTTCTCCACCTAATTCAGGGTCACCAGGACCCCAGTGCTTAGCACCCTGGGACTCCGGTGTAACCCTGGGGCCCTGTGGGGTCGTGAGTGGTAAGAGCATAAGCGTGGAGCGTGGCCAGCTCTGCGACGGGACAGCAAAGGACTTCGAAGCACCATGCTTCCGTTTTCTCATCTTTATCCAACCCGGACAGTGGTGTCAGGATGGTGGGTGACTGCATGTCCTCACTGACCACGGGAAGGCCCCGAGCTGGGCGCTTTATGTCACTCCAGCCTCACTGGGCAGGTGTCAGCCCCGTTTAGAGATGAGTACAACTGAGGCTTGGAGAGTTGCTTTCATGTGCTCATGGTCCCACGGCTAGTGAACAGCGCAGCTGGGATGGGAACCATTCAGTCTGACTTTTCTCACCCCAGGATTAGCGACTCCATCTGAGAGGACCCCTAGTTGTAAGTTCTTGGGGTGAACAGGAAAAAGAACAATATTCTCAAGACTTAAAGCAGAATCTGTTTTTAAATGAGCAGGGGAGGGAAGTCAGCCCCTTCTCGGGCCACCTTTTCCCAAAGTGGGCTTATGAATCACCAGTGACGTGTGAG